TGGACCAGAGGTTTTTTTTATACGCGTCTTATAAATGCAAAATATTTCTTTCAGACAAGGTTCGTCACAGATAAATAAAAGAACCATACCACATTCACAAAAATTGGCCAGGTGGGAATAACTGCTATGACAAAGTCGTTCAGTGAAGAAAATTTTTGATTGCAGAGATTTTAAAATGAAAAAATCAGAATGTTGAACTAGCATACCAAGTAATATTTGATTTCATTTGTTTGAATGAGCGATATTTGAAATGTATTTTCTCTAGATTGTAATAAAATTGTGATAAATAGGTATCTTGTTCACCATGCATGTATTAGAAACAGAGCTTTCATTCACTATGTGCTACCCATCCTGAGACTAACATGCAATGATAGATTCACACCTATAACAATAATTGTTTGCAGACTGGTACATATAAAGAAGGACTATGGCTTTATTTTTTAATGAACACAAGAAATTGTTAAGAACAATGACAAACATGATAATTACTATTTACTAATTACTATCATTACAGGCAAGACAAAAAATACTATAAAATATATTTGTTCCAAAAACTTGCATAGTAACATGCTGCTTACAGTTAAAACAGTGCAGCTAAGGCCTTACAAAAAATTATTATTATTTTCACAAAAATATTAAATTGTGTCAACATTTTGCAGATTTAATAAATGAGTAAATAAAGTAGGCAAGAAAACACGCTGACCAGAAAGATCATATTTTTTTAGGCCAAAAGTTAAGCAATCTATTTACTCTGAACACAACAAAAACATTTCCTTTATCTATCAATGAAGTTGAATCCAATCAGCCAATTAACAAGCGCAGTGTGCAACAACATTTTTGAAACATCATCACGTTCATAAATCGGCCAAAAGAAACATCTCATTACAATTTGAGTAATGAAATTTATAAATATTTATACAGATTAAGAGAATGCTTTTGTTGTGCTGAAAGTAGTTGAATCTGGCGTTGGTGTAGAGTAGGAGTGTTTAGTAATCTAAAATATGACGGCCTTGTTGAATCACAGTAATCTAGTGTTCACTGGTTCACTAGGACTTTCTGACATTTTCTTCATGTTTTGCCAATCTAAGTGGAGGGTTTTTTTCCAATTATTAAGGTCATTGTGAAGTTTATTTATTAAAACAGTAATTTGTACATACAATTTTTATCACAAAAATTGTATTTTCAAGAGATTACTACATCAACACTTTGAATCCAACCAGCCTATCATTGAGCACAATGCACATTGACATCATTTGAAAGCATTCTAATGTTATTCCATTGGCCAATAGAAACTGCTTGATTAAGTTTGAATTGTTAATTTATGAATATTTATAAAGACGAAGGTAATGTGTTTGTTGTGCAGAGTGTACTCTATCAAAAAAAAATCTTACAAACGTAATGGTAGTCATCATATGCAGTGTATTTAATTCTGATGTAACTAAATTAATATAAACCAATTAATGGAGATAAACCATTAAGACACAAGCAATCTGAATCAATTGATGTGAGGTTAAAATCCTCATTTTCACTTCACAATTGGCCCTGTGGTGACAATGTTAACAACCAACAAGTGAACTATGAACCTAACCAACGGCCTAATCTGATCAAAGATGTTGTAGGTCAAACAACAACCAATTTCTACTGCACACAAATTGAAAGAATATTGTCTACTACTCATTTTTATCCCAAAAAAAAGTATACTCACAGTTTAGCAATGCCACCTCGTCGCACAGCTGACGATACAGCCTTAAGGGCTGTTAACAGAGCGTTGAGTAGTTGGGTCAATTCACCTGTTGCATGGGGAACTTTTTTCTGTTCTGCCAGGACAAATCTGGTCAGTGTCATGGAATCTGTTTCAATCTGAGACATTTTGGAATGAAAAAAGTAGAATTTGGTAAATACAAATGATGGAATGTAAAGCTCTGAATTCTACTACGTGCACTGTGCTACGCTGCCTGAATGAAAAGAAAGGTCATTCGACGTCATTGGCTGGACTGGGAGATGTGGCAGTCACGTGATAAGACACACCCCCAAATTATTATAATAAACTTTCCTTGATGTTGCCAATTAGGCGTCACTCAATTAATACCTCATTAACATAACTCTACGAAGTGGCAATAAAATATAACCAAATACGTAAAAATAAATAATGAAGGGCATTTTACGCTTGGTCCTCTTGGCTGAATAAGCTTACTGTAAATGTTCGCTGACTGTTGTTGAACCCAGTTGAGCACAGTGACAATCGTTATCCCTGATCACAGTAATGTACTGAAATACTAGCATGAACAAAGATGAAACTTTGAGAATAAAGGGTGCAGAGGATGACCAGGAAAAGGAGTTGGCCGAAGAAATTTACGGTAAGGAGTCTATCTCTGTAAAGCCCCCCCCCCCCCAGAATTTGTTTAGAAAGGTCATTCAGGGTCACTGTATCGACCTTGATCCTATGAGTAAACAAACATACGCAGTGTTGTTGACTTTAAATTTTGACAAGAACAGATAAAAGTAAATAGATATTCAGTAAGAGTCAAATTATTGTTGTGAATGCGATATAACAGTATAAACTCATGTCATTGTTATCGTGAGGTACACGGAGGGTAATGCTAATTGTTATTTTCTGCAGACGATCAATCTAAGTTAGACATTATTTTTCAGTTGTGAAAGTGTCTACCTATTGCATGCAATTTACAAGTAAACTGTCGAAACCGTTCTTGTCACGCGTTTTTTTCAGAATTACAAGTGTACGTGACAGCACGGCTCCAAGACATGTCTGACGATGTCTGGACATTCCCTTTGTTTGAATATTTAATATATTCCGGCTGAAGCTAAACTTCTTACTAAATACACTCTAAAATTGGAAAGCATGTATAATAATCCGACTACTTCGAAATTCAAACAATTTGGACAATGTGTGGTGCTCCCGATGTAAGTAACCTTGGTGTCTGGAGATGCCACTTTTACTCACCCTTTGTGGTTGAGCCATCTTCTTACGAATACAAAGTGATGTATTTCTTGTTTAAAGATATAATCCGGACTATCAGGGACCCAGAAAAGCCACAGACGCTTGAAGATTTAGACGTAGTCTACGAAGATGGCGTTTTGGTGAACCACCGTGGAACAGATGAGTTCTTAGTGAACGTGGAATTTACGCCGACCGTACCACACTGTACACTGGCAACCTTAATAGGTATGACCTCCCACTGACCTTCTATCATAATGTCTTCTATAGCGTACGTACTAAAGCTGTTGGTTGTATATGTGTATACCTGGAGCAGTGTTCTTTCATTTTAATGTTATACTACAGGTTTCATGAAGGCGTGAATTTGTTTTATGGACATTTATAAACATTTATTTTGTAACATTTATCATGAATGACTCTTGTGCTTTTAATATTTAAATCCAAAGAAGATGGTTTCATTGGCTGTAGACAGCTGTTGGTAACACCCATTACCCATGAGTCTTTATTGGGTTTCTTCAATCATTGGCCAACGAGTTATTAAATTCATAGGCATGAAAGGAACAATGAATTTCATTGTTAATTTAGCATTTCACTGGGTTTTAGCAGTCAGCGAATAAGTGAAAATAAAACCCAGTTATTAATTAACCTCTGACTGTGCAGGCTGCAAGGAATATCCTGAAACAGCCAAAATAAGCACTTAGGGATAGACCAGCTGAAATCTGGGGGTGATTTTGTTTAGGTCTTGATAAAAATGATCAGATTGAAAAACAAGTTTTCATCAAATTTATTGGAATCTATTATAGTGATCTACCTAATTGTCATATCATCTGCATACAACTTCATTATTTCATAAATGGGCTTTCTCAGGCGATAACATCATATGTTAAAATAGAACATTCCAGCTGTAGCAATATTCTAGTAGGTATTTTTTTTTATGTTATATGATAGACCCTCCAGTAGAGGATCTATGGTTATATATGAAGTTTCTTAATTAATTCGTACCATCTGAATACCTGTGCACATATAATAATTGCATTAGTGTTTATACAATAAGCTGGGATAGGATTTGTTTACTGCCATTGTACAATTTGGTTATCATGGAAAAAATTGAAGCTGGAAGACTCACTTCACTGGCATATCCAGAAATTTGGTAAGGGGGACGCTCCTATTGACATGGTCGAAGTAGACCACCGGTAGGCTTGGTTTGTGAATTTTGTTTTTTTGTGGGCTGATGGAGGAGGTGTGCGCCTGGCGCCCCCTCTAAATCCGCGCATGCACGTCACCTCTATGCTAAAAATCTTGCTGAATCTAGGCACTCTTCATTTATGAAATATTGAGACTGAACTCATACATGTTCAGAGTGATATTGGCTCTTGATCAGAAGAAAATTAACTACATGTATTATATTAAGTGTTGCTAGGCTTGCTGAATTCATCACTATGGATCATACAATTCTTCTAGCACATATGTGGTTCATAACATATTTCAATGGAAAGTCTTTAAAGGGTGGTAGTTGTCGCACAGCACATGTGCGAGATAAGAGTTTCATATAAACAAAGATGGGGAATTTGACTGTTGCGCACACCAACTACCGTAGTACAAACTGAGAGGTTACCAAGCTTTAATTAGGTTTATTTGTTGGTGTTTGGAAGGTGTCGAAGGAGTCGCCGATGGTAATTAAGTGCAAGTACGAGGGCAAAACTCATAGAAAAGCAATTGGATTGTTTATCAACACAAATGTCGCACATGCACGGCGCGACGACTACCAGGTGTTGGAGGCTTACTTTCAATAGATCACATCGAAGATCGTAACAATAGCTTTTGTGTTTCCTCCCCTCCTACTCAAATGAACCCTTTCTTATATACAAACTCAATTGAAGTTTACTCTCTTGAAATAAGTTGTTAGTTTACCAGGTAATATTTCTAGTCATCTTACCGGTACTGTCTTTTGGATCAGGCCAGATCAGCACACATCTGTTATTTTGTACTTGTTCCATGAAACAATTAAGTTTTCTAATACACATGTGCACAGGTGCAATGTTTTGGTACGTACTATATCATTGCACATGCATATTATGAATACTGTTGTGTGTCCTGCAAATACAACATTTTTAGATTATGATAAATCTACAGTTTGTGATATTGAAAAGATATATGTTTTCAGTAATAAAGCATATTCAAGGCCTGACATAGATAGCTGAACTTTGAAGAAACTGTAATAGAGTCAATGGCCTAGTTATGTTTTCAGGGTGCTGTGTCTGACTGGTCATTTACCTCTGTATTTATTCAAGTACCACCCACTCAAACGTGAATACAAACAATTCAAATGTGATACATTTTATTGCAAAAATACAATGTTACAAACCCCCCCAAAATAGGTGAAATGCATGATTAAAATTTCTGCCTCTAAAATATTGCACTTGTGTCCTAATTGTGTAACTAAAAATTGCATTGCTGCGGAAAGACTGTTTCACACCCCTATGCCAATGCTAATTACCGGTATTGACTGAGACTTGTATCTTTCACTTTCAGGTTTATGTATTCGTGTAAAACTACAAAGAACATTGCCACACAGTTATAAAGTAAGTTGTCGATGAGTAATTGCAATGAGGACGCAGTACAATATATCATTTAGTCATTTCAAAATGTAGTTTTCTTTATTTAGGTTAATGCTATTCAGGTCACCTGTATTGACCTTTCAAGTCTGTAGATTAAAATTTCAGAGCATAATGCTTTGTACTTGAAAGTACGAATTGATCAAGTTTCAGTCAAATACTCAAGAGGTACGACTGTGTGTATGTATGCATGTATGTTGTAACTCAAGAATCACTCAGCAAATTTGTCTTCTACTTGTTTGTTTTCAGTTGGATATATTCATTAAGAAAGGTACACATTCTACTGAAGATGAGAGTAAGTGTAATTTGATTTAATTTGAGTGTGTTTTGGGTATATCAGAATGATGCAATTAATCATTCAGTGATAAAATCCATTCATTATATAAATATGTGATACCGGTAGTATTAGTTTATACAGTGAGCTCCAGTGAGTTCATTTCAGCTAATAACAGCGCATGATTAGCAGCCAAGTTGAGAATTGTAACTCACTACTACTAATAAATTATGATTATTACCAACTTTTCATCTTTCAGTTAATAAACAGATAAATGATAAAGAAAGAATAGCAGCAGCGATGGAGAACCCAAACTTGAAAGACTTGGTAGACAACTGTGTGGTCGATCTAGAATAGCACATACATACGTATATTACAAGAAAGCCATCAGAGCTAGCAGATCTGTCGCCATTTTTTTTACAAGCACTGGTTGAGTGTCCATAGCTTAATAGTGTTCCAGATGTGATAGCTGTGCGTTTTAAATAAGGTCACATGACCATACCGGTACATAGTTATTAAATGTTTTGAGCTAGTCTGCAATGTCTTCAATAAAGCACTGGTTGAATGTCTCTAACTGCAATAGTGCTCCAAATATGATATTTATGCATTATTAATGAAGTCACTTGACCAAATACCGTCATTAAATATGTTGACCAGATTCAGTGTGCAATGTCTTCAATATAACACTGTGAATGTTTCTGTCTGCAATAGTGCTCCTGATATGATTTCGTACAGACTTACAAATATACGCTGGTAACCACTGTCTCCCCGCCCACACTATGTACGGAGGGAATGTGTTGCCTCATTCACAAATGTAATTACTTCTCTTAACCACAAATGTTCTGTTGCTGCATGGCTACACAAAAACAAGTTTAATTTGGCTGCCTAATGTACCTTTTTGCCAGAAAATTAAGTGTGGTGTGTTCATCCTTTTCTTTTACCATCACAAGCAATACAAAATCCTTGGTTCCAAATAATTTATGAATAAACAAGTTATTACACAATTTTAACTGGGCATTTTCACTTTTTCCTCCAGCCTGCTTGATCCAAAGGGCTGTACAATTTGATGGTTACCGTCTGGCGCACATCTGATATAATAAAATAAATGCGATATTTACTATATGCCATCTTGAATGACGCATAAAACTAAATAAGAGACAAGTTGTGAAACGCGTTTTTCAGATTCCTACAAATCAGGACAAAAATACAAATCTTTCACAAAAATACGGTCCGTCGGGGTTATATTAAGCCAATCGATAACAAAATT